CAGGTGAAAGAAGAGCAGCTAAAGCCAGAAGATCCCTGGACTAAAGAGGAAACCATGGAGATCCCCATCAGTGAGCAGGAGGAGCAGCAGGAGGCTGGAGGTTAGAGACGGGGGGTTATCTTCCTAAAGCTGACATTGCTTCTTCCTCCCTTTACATGATTAAAACAACAAAACAATTACAAATGTTACACAAATCTAAATGATTATATTATAGAAACAATAAATCTATCCACATCCCCACAGAGTTTGCGATGAAGGCTCCTAGAGGGCTGTTGATCTGGGACAGTTTCAATCATTCCCAGATCCATCTGTGTGGCATTGAATCACAGGCTGTCCTGTAATCAACCCAGACTTTGCACAGGTGTGTTTGTCTGGTTTTGCAGTCTAGAGTGACTGTTCTGTCAACCACAGTTGGTGTTTGGCTCTGTTGCTCTAACCAACACCTTTAAGCACCGCTGACATTAGCTGATCCATTTGCCCTCTCATCTTTGCTGCTGCGATTCCTGATAGGAGTTTCCATGTTGGGGAGAGACGGGTTATTGGCTGACAGTAGGTGGGGATTGTCCCCTTATCGGGGTCTTTCCTTATCAGGCTCTTCGGCCCTCAGTCAGCAATACAGGTTGGGTCCTGTTCTGTAGCCGTTGGGTTATTTGTGCCACTAGGCGATCATGAGAAGAAGCTTCTTCAGCCAGAAGTGCTAATTGCTTTCCCTTTTTACAGTATTGCTGAAACCAAGCAGCAACCTGCCATCACCTGACTAGATGACGTCGGTACAACGAATGTTTCCAGACTTCCTTCTCTGCATCGCTTGCCGTCAACTTTTGGAGTTGACCAAATATTAAAAAAACAATATACCTGTTTTGGTTCATGATTGTCTTTTGTAATGTTTTTAATCACAAGGGAGTGTAAACTATTATCTGAGTCCGAAATGTTAATGTTCTTTTCTTTCATTTTTTGTTTTGTTGTTGATGAAGAAGTGTGTCACATGTAGTTGGGAAAAAGTATTTAACTATTTACCCCAGTTAAATAAACAGAGATTGCTGGGTTTCCCTCAGGCTGCACTTTATTTTCATATCTTTGCAAAGACAGATAAATCCATCATAGAGCCTCACTGCTCTGTAATCAGCCCTGTTCTGATAGACAGAGTTGGTCTCCTTCACTTATGCTGAGGAAAAACCTGTGAAGGTTGTTTTGGAGTCAAAACAAATTATACCTTAAGAAACAATCTGGCTTGTCATGGGAATTAGTCTAAAGCATCCCTCACTCAGACATCTCTCAGCCTTGCAGCTGAAACAAACTGAGTAAAAACTAATTTTTCACTCGATAAACAGCATAACTAAATATATGAGACAGGAGAAATTTTCCATCCACACACAGTAACTTGATATCAAGATTAAAGAACCTCTTTAGTCGCTGACTGTGCCATCTAAACATTATTAGTTTACATTTTTAGTCTAATACTTTTTATTTTATCATAAAGCATTTTATTGTTTTTTATGTTCATATAATTTTTTTACTCATTTCTATTCTTGTATGCCACTACAATGTAATTGTTTCTTTTTTTGTGTGCACACTTTGAGTTGTCGGGGTACTGAAAAGTGCTAAAAAATAACATTTCCTTCCTTTACCCTCCAACATTACGTCTTTCTCCTGTGTTTGTCTTTCCAGACCTCCTGCAGGTTGGAAAAGAGGAGGATTTCTCTGAGCAGCAGCTCTGGAAACAGGAGAGGAATTCCAGTTTGGACCAAGAGGAACCAGAACCTCTGCAGATGAAAGAAGAGCAGCTAAAGCCAGAAGATCCCTGGACTAAAGAGGAAACCATGGAGCTCCCCATTAGTGAGCAGGAAGAGCAGCTAAAGCCAGAAGATCCCTGGACTAAAGAGGAAACCATGGAGCTCCCCATCAGTGAGCAGGAGGAGCAGCTGCTTCTCAAGCAGGAGGAAGGAGATAAATGTATGGTGACTCCTCCTGCTGAAGAAAAGGACCACATTAAACCAGAACCAATGAGGAACCAAGTCGTCTATCAGGACTTGAGTGAAGTTCAGAACCAGGATTCAGTAGAAATCCACCCAAAACACTCAGGATCAGAAGGAGATAAAGGGTCCAAACAGAATAAGAAATGCCAGCAAACCTTAATGACCATAAACGTTGCCAACAGTTCCAAACCCAAAGGGCATGAGGAAACTCACGCAGATAACAGTTTGTACTCCGGTATAAGTTCTGGTGATTCTTTTTCTCAAAATAGTCACTTGGTTCAACACTTGAAAAGTCACAAGGGAGAGAAAACGTTTCCATGTCTGACATGTGGAGAAAACTTTCTGAGAAAAACTCATTTAATGGTTCATGTGAGAACTCACACAGGTGAGAGGATTTATAAATGTCCTTCCTGTGAAAAAACCTTCAGTAATAAATCTGGGCTAAAGGCACACAAAAGAGTTCACACAGGTGAGAAGCCCTTCTCCTGTTCAATGTGTGGCAAAAGTTTTACCTTAAAAGGTAATTTGAATTATCACTTGAAAACTCACTCAGATGAAAAGCCTTTCACGTGTCTGTCCTGTGGAAAATGCTTCCATAATAAATGTGGTCTTCAAGTACACATCAGAATTCACAGCGAGGAGAAGCCGTTCTCCTGTACAATTTGTGGCAAAAGTTTTACTCTGAAAGGTAACTTGACTGAACACATGGTAACTCACTCAGATGAAAGGCCTTTTTGCTGTAAGATGTGTAAAAAAACCTTTAAAAGAAGATTTCTGTTAACAAACCATATGAGATCCCACACAGGTGAGAAGCCTTTTAGATGTTTGTCCTGTGGGAAAAGCTTCTCTCGTAAGTTTCACCTTGATCAACACATCAGGGTCCACACAGGTGAGAACCCTTTCGGATGTCCATCCTGTGGAAAAAGCTTCACTCGTAAAACGTATCTTGACGAACACGTTAGAACTCATTCAGGTGAGAGCGCCGTTAAATGTCCGTTGTGTGGAAAAAGCTTCACGCGCAAATCCAATCTCGATCATCACCTCAGAATCCACACAGGTGAGAAGCCTTACTCTTGCACAGTTTGTGGGAAAAGTTTTACTCAAAGTGGGAATTTGACTTGTCACATCAGGCTTCACACAGAGAAGCCTTTCTCCTGCGCGATTTGTGGCTTAAGTTTTAGTAAAAAAGGTCATTTGATTCCTCATATGCGAACTCACGCAGGTGAAGAGAATTTCAAATGTCCGTCCTGCGGAAAAATCTTTTGTCATAAATCTACTCTCCGCAGACACATCAGAACTCACACATGTAAAAAGTCTTCCTCTTGAGCAATTTTATTCAAAAAAATAATTTGAGGCACTTGACAACTGATAGAGGTGAGAAATGTTGTTCATGCATGACGTGGAAACATTCTGTTTACCTTCACCATTGAGGTCATGTTTTCACCGCCGTTGGTTTGTCTGTTTAACTAAAGAAGCTATGGACGGATTATGGTGAAATTTTCAGAGGAGGCGCGTATTGTGACTGGAAACTAATGATTACATTTTGGTGATGAACCAGATCAGGATCCTGATCAAGGAATGTTTTGAAATTTTCTGTGAATACAGGTGAAAGTCACACAATGCCAGAGGAAATGAGCTACTTGGCAACGTCTCCATCCGCTTTCTAGAAAAGAAAACATGCTTGACATTAGAAGCCACAGCAGTGAGATGCCACAGGAATGCACATAAGCACTACTTTCCATGTTTGACTCATAATAAAATGTCTATCTATAAATTCTTTCACCACATCACAAGTCCACATGTTCAAATGTCCAGCGACGTTTGGGGAAACCTTTCATTAACGCCGTTAATCTACTGTTTTGTTGTGTTTTCTAACTGGAACAAACTCAGTTTTTAGTCAGCCCCTCTTTGTGTAAGCTCTAAGAAAGAAGGGAGGCCGGTCATGTTCATCATAGCTACACCTTGACGTAGAATTTTCTAACAATTATTTGCAAACTATGTTGGAAAATATGTATTTGGTCGATAACAGAAGTTTAACTCCAGACTTTGCTGCATAACCTTTGTAGAAGGTGACAGAGGTCAAACGTTTCCTGTAAGTCCTCAGCAGGTTTGTACGCAGTGTAGCTGCTGTTTTAACCCATTCAGATGAAAATTAATCTCAATAAAAAAACTTATCATTTATTGAATGTATGATATAATGAATGTATGGAATGAGGATGTAATAATTTTTATATTTACTTTCATGAATTTGAATTCTGAATATGACCGGACTTTGCCTTTAAAGGTTCATTACTTGATTCTTCATTCATTGCTCATTGCACACTATGACAGCCCTCAGAGTTCAAAAATAAGAAAACAGCAATGTGTCCAATGTTTTCAAAATATTTTTATTTTGTTAGACACGTGAAAATGATTTATACCCCAAAATAATCCTACTAATATGTTGACTGTCTGTAGAACCTGTTTTACTTTATAATTTCTGCAAAGAAGATGGACTGTATGCTTTCTATGTTTTATTAAACTTTATAGATTCTCTTTTTCTGGGACTCCTGCTTTAGATCCGTTATAGTGAGCTGACTACAGAGTTTCATTCTTCCAACAGCATTTATTCTGTGTGAGAACGAGTCATCACTGATCAACCAACATTTATAGTGGATTCAAGTGGTATCTGGGTGTTAGTTATTTTTATCAAACAAAACTCTAGGAATTTTTCAGTGTTTGGTTTAAGGCGGTTTTAGGAGTATATGAAAAAGTGTATATAGTGTATTTTTTTTCATGTATGGTTCTGCAACAAGAATGATGAGGTGTTATCATTGTAGACGAGCTCCAAACAACAAACACTTCACCTAAAATACAAACTTCTATGTTCAGTGACACAAAGTAAGAGCTAATGATGAAATTGCCATCAGTTAATGATCAAACACATCTTCCTTTTGTTTTCTGGCTCCATCCTTATCAGATAATTCTGTTATGAGACCCTCAGATGTTATCTCCTCTGACCCAACTAGCATGTGTCAGTCTGCTTTTATCATCATTTGTTACCGGTCACATGGTTTTCCACAAGATGACACTAGCATCGAAGCATGGCTTCATTAGACACGCCTCCTTTGTACTTAGTGCACGAGTCCATACATATGAGATATGAAATTATTAAAAATTGGTTTAAAAGTTCCCTTTTCGTTCATATTTCAGTCCGTTTTCTCATCGGTGTGTGAGACGGGAGGTCTGTCTCAGCTGCCAGGTATTTAACAGAGTTTATTTGAAGGCAGCGTTCAAAGACACACACCAAGGATTAGTGAAAACGTGTTCACCAGAGCTGAAGGTTGACAGACTTTTTATAACATTTGGAGCACAAGAACATTAGAACACAAGTGAGAAAACGGATGAGAAAAGGGAATCCAACACCACACCAACTTCTTTGGTTAGGAAACTAATAAACAGATGTGAGGACAACACTATGGAGATCAATTTCTTTTAAAATTAAATAAATACTATAAATTACCATACATAAATTGTCAATAAATATTCCATTAAATAAATAAATATCCCTAAAAAAAATAACAAAAATATGTTAAAATGATCATATTTTATTTGATTATATTTCAAGATTTTTTTATTTATTCAAAGATTTATTAATTAGATAATTATCTATTTTGAATTATTAAATAGTTATTTCGTAATCGAGTATTGTTCTGTGACACAGAATAATAATCCATAATTTTGTAAAATTATTATATGAGCAATGAGTCGATGCAATCAGCTGGTTTTCCTTAGATAGAAAACTTTGAATCAATCTGACTGGATGATCTGGTGAACTGGAAAGTGACCTGAGATGANTTGAATCAATCTGACTGGATGATCTGGTGAACTGGAAAGTGACCTGAGATGACATGATGTGAATTGGAGCTATAGAAATAAACTGAATAGAATTGAATTTATGTATTTTTCATTTTAATTTCTTTTTATTTCATGTTCTTATATTTAAATAAGGAGGTGGAGTTTTTTGTGTTTGATGGAACTAGCAAGAGTTCAACCAGTGTAACAGGAATCAGCGTGACTGAATGAAGCGTGAAGCACATTGGTCAGGTCTCCTGACTTCAAAAAGCTCCATTAAGGTCCAGGCCATTTTCCATTTAAATACTGACTAGGTTATTAACATGGCTGGATTTAACATTCATCATCATATTGAAGATGATAGTTTAAATGCAACCTTTAATGCTATTTTAGACTCAGCTTGCTTTCTTCAAAACATGCATGGACCCACTCTTTCTAATCTTCATACTTTGGCAGGCTAAGGTGGGAACATTTTCCCATCAAAATATCAGTTTTAAAACCTGAACAGAGCATTTTAATTTTTTTCTACTGAACAAGAGTATTCAATTAATTAATAACTTTATTTTAGACAAACCAGTAAAATAATGTACCATGCAAATAAAATAATTGATTACAAATGAAATTGTTGAATGTATAAAAAGAGCCTTAGGAAGTAAACCTTATCTAATCATAATCACCATTTATCAGCTGTTGAGATGCTCTTGGATGAAATCCACCCTCTGCACAAAGCTGCCTGTCAATCTTATGTGAAATTCTCATTCAGGCTTGAGTCTCTGTGCAATGAAGCAACCAGAGAGAATGTCATGATCGTGGCATTGATGACTGGTTTAATTTCTTTTTCCATTCTACTCTGCCCAGTTTCTTTTCACTGCTCATTTGATCCACCTGCTCCTCTATTCTAGGTGCTTCCATCCAGTCATCAGTGCCAGATTATTCTTGTCCTCTCCAGCCAGTGGTGAGTGTTTTTAGAGTGCTTTAGTGATTCTGATTACCTGATCCTGACCTGGTCTGGCTCTCGACCACTGAGCATGTCTGTTCCCGTCTGAACGGTTTGCCTGAAATGTCTTCGGACTCCTGAACCTTGGATCCTGCCTGTTCCCGTTATGATCTGTTTGCCCCACCTGCCTTCAGACTCTGCTATCTTCTCCTGGGCTACAGCATCAGGGACACTCTGGGTGGCGCCCGCTCCATCTTGTTGCCAGCCCACCAGCTGGATCCTACCAGTTCTCTGGCTATGGACTGAACTTGCAAACCAGGTTAATGACTCATGTTTTATAATCTTAATCCGGTACATTTACATCGTCACAGAGGGGAGGTTTTTCTTATGAGGCTCAGATGGGAAGAAAAAACTGATAATTTAGTCAGGACAATGGTCTCATGCTGGATTATTGCCTTGGTGTCTGGGGTTTTATTATTTTAGAGTGCATTAATCAGATTAATCAGATTAATCGATTATTGAAATAATCGTCAACTAATTTAGTCATTGATTAATAGTTAAATTGAGTATAGAGATGGAAAAACATGTCTTTAGCTGACAAAGCGACCCACCTCGAGCAGTAATTAAACCTACATTGTAAAAAAAAATATGTAAACATTTTGCATTTAAGATAAAAAAATAAAAAAAACTTTTTGTCTGTCAATATGTTCAATTCAGATCTTCTTTAAGGAACCTTTGGTGTATCTGATTATTAATCAATAATAAAGAATAAAAAAATCAACAGATTAATCAATTTGCAAAATAATTGTTAGCTGCAGCTCTAGTGCCTACAGGCATCTTCATTTATACAATTATTGCTCATAGCCAACACGACCATAACCTTTGCAAAAGTACTAAAAACAGTAATTGATGTTCCTGTTCCACCAACTAATATCTTTTTAAGAAAACCTTTTTTTTTTAGCCATTTCCTAAACAGTTTCATGTTTGGGCATTACTATAAAGGTCCTGAATAATGCTAAATCAACTTTTTTTAGCTCTCAACCTTAATTCATTCCCTCTTCATCATGCAATTGATATTTTGTTTGATTAATGCATCCATTAGTTTTGCTATCTGAGCAATATTTTATTTAATTGTTTTATTTGAATGTATCCATTTAAACTAAACAAACTTTGACCACAAAGAAATTCTGTCTGAGGACATTGCTTAAAGAATAAAAAATTGTTTAAGAACTTAAAAAAGATTACACACAACGAACCGTTTAAAAAATGAATAACATTTACTCAAGTTACTGTAATTGAGTACTTTTTATGAGTAATTTGTCATTTTCTGAGTAGTTTTTGAAATATGTAATTTTTACTTTTACTCGAGTAAATTTTAACCAAAGTAGTTTTACACTGTTACATTTAAAACCCCCTCACGTTACTGAGTAAAAAAAAAAAAAAAATACTGATGGTGAAAAAATGAAATGTGGCCCTGCCTTGCATTGACCCTTCGTATCGTCTCATAATCCAGTGCTGCGCTTCGGAAGATGGCAGCTGCTAATCACAACTTAGGGAGTATGGATGAGGAAAGGCCTGAAGAGGAAACATATTCTGGAGACGAAAGCCAGAAAAGCTAAAAAAAAAAAAAAAAGCTGGAGCAGGAAAAAAGCATAATACTCCTTCGTGCTTCTGCAGTGTATGAGTTACGCTTGGAGCATCATGGCGGTAACATCATGGCGGTACATACCCAAAATGTTTGACAAAACAGTAGCCAATCCAGTTTTGACAGTAGCCAGGGTGGATTGGCTTAGTTTTTGTAGGCATCACCATTGCCAGAGTTTATGGATTTAAATGTTCTTTTTTCTGGGGGGGGGGGCCATAAGTGTAAGAATGCCATCCATCAATTAAGTCATTTTACATGAATCCGGACACTTAATTTCTGAGAAAAAACCTTTTTATTACCTTTAAGAAGCTCCAAAAGGAATCACAGCCATTTCAAAATGGAACAGAATTCTTTCACAGATGAAATCATGGATTCTGACAAACAGATGTGAAAGCAGCTGCTACACCTGCGTCCTCCTGTGCTGCCATATCTATTTTGGTTTGGCAGGGGGATCAGCATTGCTTTTGTCATAGCTGTATGTCTTGCCTTAAACCGAAACACTGCAGTATGATCTCTAAAGGCTGATTTATACTTACAAACCAGGTCGTCTTAACGGGCATATTGCACATCCAGTGTAAATCATTTAACAGTTTAAAATGGAAAACTGCCAGGCTCTAACCTACGTGTAGTACGCGCTAATGCTACTCTGCTGCGTAACACGCCCTGTTTATATCCCCTTTAACATAGCAAAAACATGCCATAAACACTTAACTTTGGTATTATATCAAGATATACCCTTTAAGTATCAAGTTGGAGTATTCCAACTATTACAACACACACATGCATATATGTTTCACATGTTGTGCCTCTTTATGTGAGAAGTCAAATGACCTTTTTGATTAAAACTTCTGCCGCAAATCATACAGGAAAAAGGCTTCTCACCTGTGTGAAGTCTAATGTGTTCATCGAGGTAAGATTTACGAGTCAACCTTTTACCACAGTATAGACATTCGAAGGGCTTCTCACCTCTATGACTTCTCATGTGTTCGTCCAGAAAGATTCTCCTTTTGAACGTTTTTCCGCAGGTCTTACAGGAAAAGGGTCTTTCCCCAGAGTGAGTTATCATGTGATCAGTAAAATGACCTTTTTGAGTGAAACTTTTGCCACAAATCGTACAGGAGAACGGCTTCATCCCTGTATGAACTCTGCTGTGTACATCAAAATTGGATTTATGAGTGAAGCTTTTTCCACATGCCAGACATTCGAAAGGTTTCTCACCTGTGTGGCTTCTCATGTGTTCATTAAGATGAGTTTTGCGACTTAATCGTTTTCCACAGGATGGACATTGAAAAGGCCTCTCACCTGTGTGAGTTTTCATGTGATCACTCAGTAACATTTTTCTTTTGAATGTTTTCCCACAGGTCTTACAGGAAAAAGGCCTTTCCTCTGAGTGCGTTGACATGTGTTCAGCCAAACTACTTTTTTGGTTAAAACTTCTGCTGCAAATGACACAGGAGAAGGGTTTCTCCCCTGTGTGGATTCTGACGTGTTTATCAAGAGCAGTTTTACTCATGAAGCTTTTCCCACAGGTCAGACATTGATGAATCTTCCCACCTGTGTGAGTTCTCATGTGAACCAACAAATGGGTTTTTTTTAGAAAGCTTTCCCCACATGTCAAACAAGAAAAAGGACTTTTAACCGAGTGAGTCATCATGTGTTCCTTTAAACTACGTTTTTGAATAAAACCTTTGCCACATATTTTGCAGGAGAACAACTTCTCACCTGTGTGAGTTCTGATGTGATTATGCAGCACGTATTTCTTTTTAAAGCTTTTCCCACAGGTTGGACATTCATAAATCTTCCCACCTGTGTGAGTTCTCATGTGAATTGTTAATTTATTTTCTTCTAGAAAGCTTTCTCCACATGTCAAACATGGGAAAGGTTTCTCTCCACTGTGACTTTTCAAGTGTTGAACCAAGTGACTACTTTGAGAAAAACAATCGTCACAAAATGTACAATAGTGAAAGCTGTTATTAGAGCGAGTTTCTTCATGTCTTTCGGGTTTTGAACCTTTAACATCATCTTTATGCTCTGCAGATTTCTGACATCTCTGTTTCAACCCTTCATCTGCCTCAGGTCTGGAGTCTTTTGGATGGATTGCTTCTGGATCCTGGTTCTGAGCATCACTACAGTCATGCAAGACGACTTGGTTGCTGATTGGTTCTGGTTTAATGTGGTCCTTCTCTACAGCAGGAGGAGTCACTATAAATGTCTCTCCTTCCTCCTGCTTGAGAAGCAGCTGCTCCTCCTGCTCACTGATGGGGAGCTCCATGGTTTCCTCTTTAGTCCAGGGATCTTCTGGCTTTAGCTGCTCTTCTTTCATCTGCAGAGGTTCTGGTTCCTCTTGGTCCAAACTGGAATTCCTCTCCTGTTTCCAGAGCTGCTGCTCAGAGAAATCCTCCTCTTTTCCAACCTGCAGGAAGTCTGGAAAGACAAACACAGGAGAAAGACGTAATGTTGGAGGGGAAAGTGGAAATGAAACTCTCAATCAGAATAATTTAATTCACAAGATTGGTTCTTACTATTATCAAACATTACTAATGTGAAATATATCAACTTAAAAAAACAAAAAAACAAAAGCATGGTTGATCGTTTCTTTTTCTTCTTAGAGAAAGGAAACCTCACTTTAAACACCTATTAATAAAAATATAACTTAAATAAATTTTAATAGAAATTTAAATATTAAACAACATTTTAGTTTATAAGGCCTAACTTTATTTGGTCTCCATTTTATAATGTGATCTGTTCAAATATTTACAAAAACTAACTAAAAACACAGGAAAACGTAAAACATTAAAATAACTAAAGTCCAGTTTGCGCTCTGGGCTTCCCTAAATCATCATCAATATGTAATCAAAGCACACAGTGATGCAGCGTTTCCTAACACCATATAAGGACGTTCCTGTCCTCCATGGTATCGGCTCCTCTGCTTTATGTTCAGTCTGTCCTTCTAACTACTGGAAACGTCAACAAAATACTTCATCCATCTTTGTTTATTATATAATTAGATTGCAGATTTACATGTTTCATCTCAAGTTCAAAAAACTACTATTCTTTATTTTTTTAAACATATAATTGAATGAAGTCTTCCCATTAATATGCAGTGCAGAATGCGCCCTAGAACTGTAAATAATTAATGGTTAGGATCGGATCCATAGATCTTTAATCCAGACATTTTAGAGGTTAGTTTTCAATAAACACTTTGAATTTCAGAAATAGCTAAAGGACAATTTAAGCTGATTTTACTTTAAACCTCTCCTGTAATTAAATTCTGCGTGTGCCATATGTGGACAAATTAGCACTAAAGGAAAAATGCTGAAAAACATTTTGCAGCCAAATTCAAATTGTATTTCCTGGACAATAATAAGATCAGGAGAGCAGATGGATCAGATAATCATACATGATGAGGGTAGGGACAAAGCTTTAACTGCATTTAAGAATAAACTATGCAAAATATTAGAGCTGAAACAATTAATTAGATTAATTGATTAATGAGATAATCTTTGATTAATTTAGTAATGGATTAATCATTAACTGGAGTACAGAGACTGTAAACATGCCTTCAGCTGTCAGAGCGACGCAGAGACATCGTGTCGCTCTGACTCCCAGTCAGCATCTATAGTCCTAGCATAGCGTAATGATTTATGAAATGTTGCTGCAT